GGCAGCACCAGCATGCCCCAGGACCAGCGCGGCGGCGCGCAGAGCCCCATCGGCGCACGATGGGCCACGCTGCGTACTGCCCTGCATCGCGGCATTTTGACCTCATCCACAGAAACCTCTGAGCTTTGACCTTCTCGGCGAGAAAGGAAGAGAGGCTCCTCACTCGAGATCTTGCGCCCTGGAAGAGAGAACTCGGCAAAGACAAGGCCAGAGCCCTAGACACCGCCCTTCTGCGTCACCTCTCGGGCCAGATCCACTCGTGACGGCCCCAGTGCCCAGCAGCCAAGTGGGAATGCCAGCGGCGATGTTTCAACGACGCCCGGATTTGAGATCTGCGGAGGTCCCCAGAGGCGACGATAGGGGCGAATAGCCCAGGGGAGAGCAATACATGTATCTAGGTGCGCCGATGATCTATGTCGTCGAAGAGGCTCCTGGGCGAATACGTGTAAAGCCCGCGCCTCCGTTATTTGCCCCTGTCGTCGCCCCCGAACGTGGGAACGCGGGTGGCGATTTTTGAACGACGCCCAAATGTGAGATCTGCGGAGGCCCCCAGGAAAATCTCTCAAGAGGTGGCGGCGGCGGCGGCATGTCATCGCTATTCGCCCGCCCTTCCGTTATTCGCCCCCATCGTCGCCCCAGCCAAGTGGGAGCGCGTCGGCGGCGATTTTTCAACGACGCCCGGATCTGAGAGCTGCGGGATCTCTCTCAAGAGGGTCGGCGGTGGCGGCGGCAACATGGTCGCGGCACGGCGGGCGCAGTGTCGACGAGGTTTCTCAACATTGGGAGCTGCATGAGGCTTCAACGGGCACCTTGGGATTGGGGGCAGCATCTTGGCAGTTTTGAGTCGGGCCTGTCCCTCTGCAGGAGAAATACATCAACAATAGTAAGAAGAAATAGTCAGGTGACGATGTCTTACTATGTTTGACAACTTTGGGAATATATTTTTGGACTACGTTTTATTCCCAACCCTCCTGCGTTGGGTACTCGTTTTGAATAGAGCACTGCGGTCTCCACCTTCCTTCCTTCCTTCCTTCCTTCCTTCCTCCCTTCCTTCCTTCCTTCCTTCTTCCTTCCCGCCTCCTCCCGCCTGCGGTCGCCATCCCTGGGTGGCTGCGATCTGTGAAACTGTCGCCACTTTCGAGGGCTGCTGGGGGGCCCAGCGGAGTGACGCCCTACGGGGATTCAGATTAGACCTCGCCATCCCTGGGGGGCTGCGATCTGTGAAACTGTCGCCACTTTCGAGGCTGCTGGGGGGCCCAGCGGAGTGACGCCCTACGGGGATTCAGATTAGACCTCGCCATCCCTGGGGGGCTGCGATCTGTGAACTGTCGCCACTTTCGAGGCCTGCTGGGGGCCCAGCGGAGTGACCTACGGGGATTCAGATTAGACCTCGCCATCCCTGGGGGGCTGCGATCTGTGAAACTGTCGCCACTTTCGAGGCCTGCTGGGGGGCCCAGCGGAGTGAGCCCTACGGGGATTCAGATTAGACCTCGCCATCCCTGGGGGGCTGCGATCTGTGAAACTGTCGCCACTTTCGAGGCCTGCTGGGGGGCCCAGCGGAGTGACGCCCTACGGGGATTCAGATTAGACCTCGCCATCCCTGGGGGGCTGCGATCTGTGAAACTGTCGCCACTTTCGAGGCCTGCTGGGGGGCCCAGCGGAGTGACGCCCTACGGGGATTCAGATTAGACCTCGCCATCCCTGGGGGGCTGCGATCTGTGAAACTGTCGCCACTTTCGAGGGATGCTGGGGGGCCCAGCGGAGTGACGCCCTACGGGGATTCAGATTAGACCTCGCCATCCCTGGGGGGCTGCGATCTGTGAAACTGTCGCCACTTTCGAGGGCTGCTGGGGGGCCCAGCGGAGTGACGCCCTACGGGGATTCAGATTAGACCTCGCCATCCCTGGGGGGCTGCGATCTGTGAAACTGTCGCCACTTTCGAGGGCTGCTGGGGGGCCCAGCGGAGTGACGCCCTACGGGGATTCAGATTAGACCTCGCCATCCCTGGGGGGCTGCGATCTGTGAAACTGTCGCCACTTTCGAAGGCTGCGTGGGGGGCCCAGCGGAGTGACGCCCTACGGGGATCAGATTAGACCTCGCCATCCCTGGGGGGCTGCGATCTGTGAAACTGTCGCCACTTTCGAAGGGCTGCTGTGGGGCCCATGAAACTGTCGCCACTTTCGAGACCTGCTGCGGGGTCCAGCATAGTGACGTCCTACGCGGACGCAGATTGGACCCGTCATTCTACTTCGATTATCCCGCATCTGCGATCGACTGTATGTGTGCGAGGAACTAGACATGGAGTGGTCTGGCACTGACTGACGTCAAATCGTTGTGTGCCAGTGTCTCCTGGGGTGTTGCCTGATGTGGATGCAGCTCGTCGGCGCTGCGACTCGAGCTGGCGGTCGTCCTTCGGACCCGCAGAAACATCTGCTGAGCTCGATGAGCTAGGGGAACTACAGGAAAGAAGTGCAGGAAACGGAGGCCGGTCATGCACTCGCCGATACCTCGTTGCTCTGTCATCGTCTTTGCTGTTGCATGATCCTTATCTGGCCTGCCGGCGCCGCGGCTCGAGCTGGCGGTCGCCCTTCGGGCCCGCGGGAACATCTTCTGAGACAAGTGGACGCCGCCGCCTTACTTGCAGGCAGCGCATTGCATTCGCGGACAGCAGCATGGCAGACCGCAGTGAGATCCTCAGTCGCGTGGTGTTGCCAAGCCTGGTGGAGACGCGCGTGATCGACCTGAAGTCCCAATCGCGCGTGCACTGTACCTGCGTGGCGTTCAGGCACGCGCGTGATGCTGCTCGCTCCGCGTTCAACCAGTACGTCGCCAGTGCAACTTTGGACGATGGACAACCGATTGATGATACGCGACCCCGGCCTTGAGTTTCTTTCCCGCGGGCCGCCCGCAGACCTGGCGGCGCGCCTGCGAGCGTTCAGCTCCCGCGCTGAAATGTGCGGGAAGGAGGCGGAGAAGCTAGCGGGCGAGCTACGCCTCGCTCGTTCCTTGCACTCTAAACTAGTTTTATCATGTGGAACTCTGCGACGACATGGCGCAGGCAGCGCTGCGGGTTTAGCTCGCACTTGAAAAACGCGGCAGTCTTCTGTCTCCTCCCGCCACTTTCATCGTCGTCCTATTCCCCGCCTCACCTTCTCCATGCATGCTGCTGCTTCCGCGATGGCCTTTCGCCCCCCCCGCCCTCCATTCCATCCCTCTCCTACCCCTCGTTCCCGTACCCGTTCTTCTTCGATCCTGGGGCCTCAAGCATCGTCGTCCTGTGAATCGTGCAACGCATGCGCATCCCATGTAGCTTGCACAGCAAATCGCCGCGTCTACACTGTCGTTGTTCCTGCTAATGTTGGCATACTCATCTTGCCATTTGATGCACGTGGGTTGGGTACGTCGCAGGGTAATTGTTCGTCCGAAAACCGCCAGTAGGAGGACACGCCCGACCTAAAACTGGCATCTGGAGGCAACATCTTGGCACGGTGGGTTCGCGTCGTGTCGACCAGCGGCGACCCCGCGCCCGCGTTCAGCGTTGAACGCCGCTGGCGACCCAGAACCGGTCGATGTTTGTGCCGATCGTTCGAGGTCGAACGATCCACGCGGTGTCGGGAACCAGCGCCGTGGTCGACACGGCACGAACCCGCGTTAGTTGACCGAGGGCCAGTTTGCAGGTGGCCTCGCGAGCACAGGCAGTGTCACCGCACATGATCTGGTGTGCTGACACCCCAGATAGCCATCATCATCAGCATTAGCATCAGAATCAGCATCATCAGCATCATCACCGCCACCCCCAGCAGTATCATCATCATCCTCATCATCATCCTCATCCTCATCGTCATCATCATCATCATCGGAATCAAGAACACCATCATCAGCATGACGTGAATGTTAAGCCGCACCCTCCTTTCTCATACTCCCCCTCTCCTCATCCGCCTCCTTCTCCCTGCCAATCTCTGGCTTGCAGCCATTGTCTTCAACAGGCCTTCGACACAGTCGAGCACGACAGTTTGTGGGCCGCTCTACTACGCCAAAATGCCCCACCTGGGCACGTAGACCTTCTACGACGCATGTACCAAGACCAGACACCCATGGTCCGCACCGACACTACCAGTAAACCGTTCGACCTCCGACGCGGCACAAAGCAGTGGGATCCGTTGAGTTCATTTGTTTTCAACGCACTGTTCCAACACGCCTTAGCGCCACTGATCTCAGACTGGCAGGGGCGACGTCAAGGCGTCCAACAGGGTCACACCGACGCGACGACACTCACCAACCCCCTGTTCGCAGACGGCATCTTGTTGAGAAGCCATACACTACCCATTATAAGATAAATCCTCTCTGACCTCATCACCTCTTCCAAGCAGCACGGACTGTTGCTTCCCAAGACGCACGCGAAATCGAAGCGAAGCACAGGATTCAAGCAGCGTGGGCAGTCTTCAGCAGACACTAGCAAGAACTCGCCAGCAGCACGACCCACTGCGACATCGATTGCGATTGTGCTGGGGCACCGTCAGACCTATGATGATGTACGGCGCAGAAACGAGTACTCTGACAGAGCCTCTCAAACAACACTTACGCCGAACACAGCGGCGGATGGTCAGAATGCGAATCGGAACACCAAGGAGACGCACGACAGCAACACCGACATCACAACGCCATCCAGAGACTGGCCAAAACAACAACCACGACAACAGCAGCATTGCCCCAATCGATTCCAGTGAGTCCGACGTTTGCAGCAACCCACCCGCTGACTAAACCAACATGCAGGACGACGTCAGCGACGACGAAGGCACGCAACCTGGCACCAGGCAGGACGAGGACGTCGAATTGTGGTCCGATTTCATCCGCAGGAGCAGACGGAGAGACATCCCTGATGTACTCCACATGCTTCGAGTAATGGCGTGGCGCTGGGCGAATACTGTGGCTCTCCACCGTTCGACACGCTGGACGCAGAGAGTGCTGAATTGAATCCCTAGTCTCAACACCCGACAGCAAGGACAGCGACAATTTGAAGGGCTATAAAAACGATGGGACGACGACATCTGGAATTTTCTTCACACCAGCAGCGACCCATCCACGACAACATCAACATAACAACACGAAGGACTCGCGGTGGTCATCGGCGGTCGGGAAGTCTGCGTGGCAGTTATCATGTGAGCCCGCCTACGTATCGCATTTTGGAGGCCACGGCCTCCACGCCAGGCCCTAGTGAGCACGGGCGGACTTCCCAGAGGAGCGCGAACGACTTGGGCGTTCGCTTCGCTTCGATTCGCTCCTCCCTGCAAATAACGTTCACGCACCGGCCTCTATTCGGATGGATCGGCGTACCTCGGGCTACGTCTAGTCCTCATCCTCCTCGTCATCAGCAGCATCATCATCACCTCCCCCATCCCCTCCTCCGACATCCCCTCCTACATCCCTCTTCTCCCACCCCGACCCTGCGCACCTCAGGAGTCCCACAAGCTCCGCAAGACCGACAATCGGCCGCTCGAGATGTCGACGGCGCCGGGGAGCGGGATGGGGCTGGTTTGCGGGTGGGGAGGGCTTCGAGGAGGAGGCGGAGGACGGCGTGAGGATGAGAAGGAGGAGAATCGGGGAGGAAGGGTAAAGCGGAGTAGCGGGGAGGCGAAGGACAAAAAGCGGGAAGAGGAGGAGGAGGAAGAGGAGGAGGGAGGACACGGGATGAATGAGAGGAGGAGGTGGAGGGCGAGGAGGGAGAGGAGGAGAAGCAGCAGTGACAAGAGGAAGCGGAAGGGGTGGGGAGGGGGAGAGGAAAGAGGGAGGGGAAGAGCAGGAGGGGGAGGATGAGGAGGAGTGAGGGGAGGAGGATGAGGAGGAGCAGCAGCAGCAGTTGTTGGAGAATGCGGGGGGAGGAAGGGGAGGAGGACGGATGAGTCATAGGGAGTAGGGTGAGAAGGAGAAGGCGGAGGAGCAGCAGCAGCAGGAGGAGAAGGGATAGGACGAGCGGGGGAGGGAGGAAGGGGTGAGAGGGGGGCTTGGAGAGTGTAAGAGGAAAGGGGGCCAACAGTGACGGCGACGAGCCATGGAAGGATCTACGCTGAAGGTCGGAGGCACCCGCAGGAATGCAGCCGAGCGCTTCACACCATCATTCGCGCTCCGATCTGTGACACGTATAACTTGTTTGTTCCATGACATCTGGCACAGATAGCCAAAAATAGCAATGTGGATGCCAGGCCGTGGACATTGCATCGGATCCTAACGTTGGAGTAAGTTCACGTCGCTCGAGCTTGCGACTACATCCCGCGTTGCAGCACCACACACGAGTCGCGATCGTGGCACGCAGCGAGTTGGCGTTGGAGGACGCATGCCGAACGAACTGCACTGCATCAAGTAGACTCGGCCTAGACAGCCGCGCCGATCGGGAACCTGGCGGGTAAGGGGGGGACTCCGCGCCGAGGTGGACGGCGATATCAAGCTCGAGTACCGCGACGACTTCGGGCGCGTCCAGACACCCAAGGAGGTGCCCACCAGCCTCATCCTCCCTCCCTCCCTCCCTCCTCCTCGCCTCCTCGTCTCCTCCTCCTCCTCCTCCTCCTCCTCCTCCTCCTCCTCCTTCTCCACCTCCTTCTCCACCTCCTCCTCCTCCTTCTCCTCCTCCTCCTCCTCCTCCTCCTCTTTCTCCTCCTCCCCTCCTCCTCCTCCTCCTCCTCCTCCTCCTCCTCCTCCGCCTCCTCCTCCTCCTCCTCCTCCCTCCCTCCCTCCCTCCCTCCCTCCCCCTCCCTCCCTCCCTCCCTCCCCCTCCCTCCTCCGCCCCCCTCCTCCTCGCCTCCTTTTCCTCCTCCTCCTCCTCCTCCTCCTCCTCCTCCTCCTCCTCCTTCCTGCTCATCGCTTCCGTCTCCCTCCTCATCCTGTTTTTCCTCCTCCTCCTCCACCTCCTCATCATCATCCCCCTCTTAGTTCTCATGATCCTTCTCTTTCTCCTGTTCCTTCTCATTTTCCTTATCCTTATCCTTCTCCATCCTCCTCCTGCTCCCCCTCCTTCTTCTCCTCCTCCCCTCCTCCTCCTCCTCCTCCTCCTCCTCCTCCTCCTCCTCCTCCTCCTCCACCCCCTCCTCCTCCTCCTCCTCCTCCTCCTCCTCCTCCTCCCCTCCTCCTCCTCCTCCCCTCCTCCTCCTCCTCCTCCTCCTCCTCTCTCTCCTCCTCATCATCATCGTCCTTCTTCTCCTCCCCGCTCCTCCTCCCTCCCTCCTCCCCCTCCTCCTCCTCCTCCACCTCCTCCTCCTCCACCTCCCTCCTCCTCCTCCTCACCTCCTCCCTCCTCCCCCTCCTCCTCCTCCTCCACCTCCTCCTCCTCCTCTTCGTTTTGTTGCCCTTTAAGAATAACTTCTCCCTGTCGCACAACGAGGCCAGTTTTCAGGACGGGCCGGGCGTTTCGCCGGAGACTTCCTCACCATGCATGACCCTGAAAGTTGACACCAGTTTCACAAATAGAGGGCGGGTCGCTTTCAAAATGTGGTTCTCGCTTTCGCGCCGCGCACATTTGCATTTACACATTTACAAGCGCATCACGGATTGAGGGCGACCCGTTTTCAAAATGTGGCTCTCGTTTTAGTGCCGCGCACATTGTTTCTAAGATGCAAGAGTCTCACGGATTCACATGATCAGCGTACCGGTACGGGCGTGTTGGAAGGATTCAGCAGCATGTTGGTGCAACAGCTATGTTGACTCGCGGTGTTGAAGTCCCAGGAATGGCGTTCGGGTGCGATTCAGGATCGTCAAGACGCAGCAGTCCAGTTGATCCGTGGCGCTGGAATCCCATGAAAAAAGTTGTTGCATGCTTCAGGGTCTTCAAAACGGTTGTCTTCCAACGAGGCAGTTCCCTCAATGGAAATGAACCGTTGTATGGGGCATATGAAGAGGGAGCTTGATTAATGGTTCTTGGGTTTACACTGGTCCTCCTCCTCTTCCTCCTCCTCCTCCTCCTCCCCCTCCTCCTCCTCCTCCCCCTCATCCTCCATTCCTTTTCCTTATTATTAAATCTCCCTGTCACACCCCGAAGCCAGTTTTGAGGGCGGGCTGGGCGTTTCGCTTCAGATTCCCTTACCACTTATGACTCTGAAGCTTAAAAAGTGGCAACGGCTTCACAGATGGTGAGCGGGTCGTTTTCAAAATGTGACTCTCGCCTCAGCGCCGCACACATTCGTTTTAAAAAATTGGCAAGAGTTTCACGGATTGAGGGCGGGGTGGTTTTCAAAATGTGGTTCTCGCTTTAGCGCCGCGCACCTTCGTGCTAAACAATGACAAGAGCCTCACGAATTGTGGGCGGGTGGTTTTCAAAATGTGTTTCTCGCTTTAGCGCCGCGCACCTTCGAGTTAAACAATTACAAGAGCTTCACGGATTGAGGGCGGCTTCTTTTCAACATGTAGCTCTCGCCTTAAATATGAGCAAATTATGTTAGAAAATTGCAAGCTTTTCACGGATTAGGGGCGGTTCCTCTTCAAACATGTTGTTCTCGCCTTAGCGCCGCGCACATTCGTTTTCAACATGTGCAAGAGTCTCACGGATCCCGATGATCGCCGTACCAGAAATTGTGTGTTGGAGGGGTTCAGGATTATGCGGGTGCAACAGTTACGTAAGTTGATTCGCGGTGGTGAAGTCCCAGCAATGGCGTTCTGGCGCGACTCGGGATCGTCAAGACGCAGCAGTCCGTTTGATCCGTGGCGCTGGAGTCTCGAGAATCAGTTTTTGGTATGCTTCAGAGTCTTCAAACCGTTGTCTTCCAACGAGGCAGTTCCCTCAATGGGGATGAACCGTTGTAGGGGCCTATGCAGAGAGAGCTTGGAGGGAGGGTATATTCTAACATCGTAGATGACCCTTGGATTTACACTGGTCCTCCTCCTCCTCCTCCTCCTCCTCCTCCTCCTCCTCCTCCCCCTCCTCCTCCACAGCGGGGATGAGCGGTAATGAGGAAGGGGAGAAGCCAGAAGGAGGTGGAGTCACGAGGGAGGGCCGGGGGAACGGAAGAGAAGAGCAGGGACCAGAACGAGAGAGAAGAGTGAAGGGAAGGGAAGCAGCTGGGCGCGAGGAGAAGACAAGGGGTAAAAAAGACGGGGGGGTGGAGAGAGGAAGCGAGGGGAGAGAATGGAGGGACCTCCAGTGCAGTGACAGCGGGGCTGTTCAGGATCGTGCATCTTGATTCCTCACGGCCCTCCTTGTCCTCCGCATCGTCCTCCCACTTCTCGTTCGTCGTCGGTTGCCCCTGAGCCGAGCCCTGAGCCGTAGTCTCACGAACTGGCAAGGGCTAGTATCAGAATGAGGGCATACGTGTGTGTGTGTGTGTGTGTGTCTTTCTTCCTCTCCCCATCGGCCTCCCGACCGTCCCCGTCCTGCTCCTCCCGATGATCCTGATGCCACGCGTCGTCCTCATGAGATTCCTGCTCTGCATCCTGCTGTCCACCCTCACTATCTGAATATTCAGCAGCGGCATCAGCATCATCAGTATGATCATCAGCAGAAGCATCATCAGCAGCATCGTCATCAGCAGCATCATCATCGTCATCGTCGTCGTTCTCATCATCATTATCATCAGCATGGTCAGCATCACCACCACCAGCATAATCAGCATCAACACCATCACCATATCAGCGTATTCGGCATAATCAGCATCAGCATCAGGATCAGGACAATCCTCATCATCAGCAGCAGCAGCGTCAGCATCAGCATCAGCATCAGCAGCATCAGCATCATCATCGGCATCAGTAGAAGCATAAGTATGATCATGATCAGCGTCACCAGCATCATTTTGATCGTCATGTTGTCGTCAGCCTCATCATCAGCAGCATCATCGTAAGCATCAGCATCACCATCATCATCAGCAGCATCATAATCATCATCAGCATCATCATCGCCAGCATCATCATATGCATCACAATCATCACCAGTAGCATCATCATCACCAGCAGCATCATCATCAGCAGCAGCATCAGCATCACCATCAGCATCATCAGCATCATCATCATCAGCATCATCAGCGTCGTCGTCGTATCCCGTTACCGTTGCCTGCAGCAAGCTCCGCCTCGATGCCGGCTTCGAGCACCGCCTAGAAGGCCGCAACCGTGTGGCTCATCTCAGCTCTAATCGTTGTGGCCATTTCGGTGCTCACCTGGACCGTCCTGGTGCCCTCTAGGGGCTCTCTGGGGGCCCTCTTGGCGCCGTGTTTTGGGCCCCTCTCGGCCGTCCGGGGAGTCTCTCAGGCTGCATTGGGAGTTTGTTTGGCCATCTTGGGGTTGCCTTGGGCTGTCTCTGGCCCTTCTCGGGCTGTCTTTGGGGCCCTCGTGGGGCGGTCCTGGGTCGTCTAGGGGGCTCTCTTGGGGTCCTCCTTCGGCTCGCGTGGCCTCCCTGCGGCTCCTCCCAGATTCCGTCTTGGAACCGTCTTGAGCCCAGAGGCCCGGGAGATCCGAAAGATATTCGAAAAGTGATGGGTTCCTATGGTTGTCGATGTTCTTGGCATTTGAGGGGGAGGAGAAGGAAGAGGAGGAGGAGGAGGACGACGACGACGAGAACGAGGACGAGGACGAGGACGAGGAAGAGAAGAAGGAGGAGGAGGAGAAGGAGGAGGAGGAGGTTTGGGAGAGCGGATCAGCCTTCTCTCTGATGCGTTGGAAGTGTTGGGGGGCTCCCTTTGGCGCCTCTCGGGGCCTGCTGGGGAGTTGGCGGGTGCCTCTTTCGGGTTCCTTAGGTCAACGCACCGACTGTATGGCGAGAGGGAGCGGCCTTAGAAGACTCTATAAGCTTACGCCACATCCGCCGACACCTCTATAAACTACGGCGCGTCCAGGACTGCATTCCACGAGGCTTGTCCGACTCTTGGGAGGGTCTCGGGGGCGTTTGGGGGCTCTGCTCGGGCTCCCTAGAGGCTTCTTGGGCGTGTTGGGGGCTTCTTGAGGCAACCTGGGGGCGTCCTGGGGCCGAAGGCTGGAAATTTGGGTTCGGGTTCCCCCCTGTGGGCGAGAGGGAGCGGTCTTAAAAAACTTACAGAAACCCTGCCAGGCAGCACCTACAATCTACGACGCATCAACGTGCCAACGGCATCAACCACCATCAGCATCAGCATACGCACAATCATCACCACAACCGTCGTCCGTACACCCTGTCGCTGGCATAATATCAACGAACACGTGCAATCGGAAGGATGCTGATACGAACAATTATAGCATACTCATCATTGCCCAGAGGGCACCATCATCATAACCCATGCGGAGCAGCAGCACCTCCACCATGATAATTATGATAGTTCTGATGGTCATAGTTTTCATCAGGATCATCATCATCATCATCATCAGCATCATCATCATCATCATCAGCATCATCAGCACCCTCGGCATCCTCACCATCATCATCGGCATCATCATCGTCGTCACCAGCATCATTGTCGTCGTCAGCAGCAGCATCATTATCGACATCAGCAGCATCAACATCAGAATCATCCTTTCTCCTTGCCACCCCCCGGAGCCTCCAAGATCCACCGAATACTTGCGGCCTCAGAGGGCCTCTGGAGGTATCGGCGAAGGTCCCCGAGGGCCCCCGAAGGCCTCCAAGACCTCCCGAAGGCCTCACGCGCGCGACCCGCGGAGGCTTTCCGAGCCATCTCCTGGAAGTTCCACGGCAAGACCCCCGGCAGGAAGAACATGGAGCGCCGCATTCTCCGGCGGGGAGACTGAGCGGGAGGAGCAGGGAGAGGGAGGGGAGGGGAGGGGAGGGGAGGGGAGGCAGCAGGATGAGGGGGAGCGGGAGAGGGGGGATGGAGGGAGGGAGGGGGAGCGGGAGAGGGAGCGGGAGAGGGAGCGGGAGAGGGAGCGGGAGAGGGAGCGGGAGAGGGAGCGGGAGAGGGAGCGGGAGAGGGAGCGGGAGGGGGAGGGACAGCGGGGGGGGGGAGGGGGGGAGGGCGATGAAGCAGGGAAGGGAAGGGAGGGTGCAGAGCGACCCGCGCAGCACCAGCAGCAGCAGAAGCACGCGCCGCGGCCGCGCGCGGGCGCTCTGCGCGCCCCCGCGCGCGGGAGGCCCAGGCTCCAGTCGGGCCTGTCCCCTTACAGGAGGAACATGCAGAAATAGTCATAGAATGGTCTGGGGACGATTTGTTTTTGCTATTTCTGGTTATTTGGGGGGCATGGTTTGAAGATGTTGCCTTTGTCCTCCAAAATCCCCCTGTAGGAAGACAGGCCCGACCGAAGGCCAGGCCCACGACGCCCGCGCGGGGGCCACTGGCACGCCACGCCCGCCTCGGCCGTGCCGCTGAGACCCCCGTCGTGCGGGCACGCCGCGCACGGCGCAGCCGCCGCACGCCATCGCGGGCCAGAGGTGGCGCGGCCACTCCACCGGCGAGCTGCTCGCGGGCGCTGTGCCGCCCAGCACAGCGGGCAGCTGCGGCTGCGGCTGTGGCTGCGGCTGCGGCTGCGGCGGCTGCGGCTGTGGCTGCGGCTGCGTCTGTTCTGCTGCGGCTGCGGCTGCGGCTGCAGCAGCGGGCACGCGCCCCGTGCGCATGCGACGCGACGCGCGACGCCCTTCGGCCCACCGCTGCTCCACGGGCCGCCGCGCAGCCCGGCGACCACGCCAGAGAGAGGCGCCGCGCGGACCTGTTCCAGGGCGCCCAGGCACGGGACGGACCCTTCACTGCGGAGCGCCGAGGGATGAAAGCAAAGGGCCACGCATCCTCCTGGGCCCGTACTGCGGCCACCACGGCCGTGCGCTTCCACCGCCTGAGTGCCTTGGGGGGCGCACGGCGGCGCGTGCGCGCGGCGGGTAGCATGGTCTCCACGTGGAAAGCTTTGGTGGTGCGCAGCAGATAGGGAAAACGTTAGGGAGGGATTGGTTTTTAAGTGGGGGACGCATCGGCCCCCAACCGCCCGTTGATCGCCGACATAGGCCCGAAAGCCCGCCCCGCCCAGGAGCGCGCGGCTTCGCTATCGAGGGCCAATCGGCGATGCATCGCCGATTCCAGGTCGATGCTTCCCCCCCTGCGCGACAGTTCCCCCCCATCGTTGCCCCTCACGGGAGAGGAGGTGGACAGCGACGAGGAGGACAAGGAGCGGGAGGAGGGACGAGGAGGAAGAGGAAGAGAACGAAGAGTTTGAGAAGGTGGACGAGGGGGGGGTGGACGGGCGAGCGGACAGAGGAGGACAACAATCGAAGAAGAAAGAAACCATAGCCATAATTTTTTGGCGCTCCGCGCGGGTTTCTTGGATCTGCGTTGGGACCCCCCTGACGGCACCTCCAGCGCCGCCCCTGGCCAGCGCAGATCCAAGAAATCCGCGCGGAGCGCCAAAAGTTTCTATTTACGACGTTCTCTCTTCTCAGAGGGGGGGGGTGTGAGAGAGGGATAGAGGAGGACGAAGAGGGTGGGCGATTCTCATCACTCCTGGTGCCCCGCGGCACCCAGACCGGCGGGATAATGAAGCCGGGAGAGAAAGGAAAGCAGGAGGAGGAAGAGAAGAGGGAGTGAGGGATATGTATTTGCGCGGGTGAATGCCGAGCAATGTTCAACCGCTTCTCTGCTAATCACGCCGACGCAGATGGTTTTGTCTTAATACTCTGGACAGACTGGGAGCCAGCCACCGGTCCACTCACCTATTGTTATCGCACCCGCCGCACTATAGGGACATTATGTTTCAACACTACCCAAAAATATTGCCAGTGTAAGTTCAAGCGCTGAGCTAAGATGCGATGCAGCGAGGGCGATGATGAGAAGGAAGGCACCCATGCATCGGAGTTGTGAGATGCACCACTTGATATTAAAGGCAAGGACCGTGGGGAAAGTGCAATGGCACAGGTGGGTGATCAGCAGCGGGCAAAATCCGCCAGCTGGCCTGCCAGAACGTAGTGCCTCGGGGCAACAGAAGCAGCAGAGGGAGCAGACGGCAGTTTGGCGATCCCAGGCTCCATCGCGGCGTCCAGGACGTAAGATTGGAAATCGTGTAGCAGTGGCGGCAGCGACAGCCACATCTGCGTGCACCTGCACGAAACGAAGGGGCAGTGGTGCTAACACGCCTGTCCGAAGAATCCCTTGACCGCCCTTCCGAACACCAGCAACCAGCAGCAAAGCTAGGAAGCTTCAGAACGCCAGCAAGATGCCACCACGAGGGAGGAAGTACAGCAACATTGTCATCGCAAGCGTGATGAGGTCCGTCAGTGTTACCATTAAGTCGGGCATGTCCCTCTACAGGAGGAAAATTCTTCACGCTTCGCGTATCCCCACCAGCCCATGTCAAAACAGCAACTCTTGCGAAGCATGCTGACAGTCGTGTTGTTCATGCGTGTTTCCGCCTGCCCCCGCATATCTCCCCTGTTCCTCCTTCCTCCCGCCTCCTTGTACATCCTCCTTGTGGTGGGAGCGGGAGAAGGACGAGGCGGAGGAGGAGGGAGAGAAAGCGCTCCTCGTGGTTTGAGTCGTTTGGGGTTTCTCGTCCTGGTGTGAGTCGTTCGGGCCCTTCTTCCTGGTGTGAGTCGTTCGGGCTCTTCGTGGTGTGAGTCGTTCGGGCTCTTCGTCCTGGTGTGAGTCGTTCGGGCTTCTCGTGGTGTGAGTTGTTCGGGCCCCTCGTCCTGGTGTGAGTCGTTCGGGCCCCTCCTCCTGGTGTGACTCGTTCGGGCTCCTCGTGGTGTGAGTCGTTCGGGGCCCTCGTCGTGGTGTGAGTCGTTCGGGCTCCTCGTGGTGTGAGTCGTTCGGGCGCCTCGTCCTGGTGTGAGTCGTTCGGGCCCCTCCTTCTGGTGTGAGTCGTTCGGGCTCTTCGTGGTGTGAGTCGTTCGGGCCCCTCGTCCTGGTGTGAGTCGTTCGGGCTCCTCGTGGCGTGAGGCGTTCGGGCACCTCGTCCTGGTGCAAGTCGTTCGGGCCCCTCGTAGTAGGAGTAGTAGTAGTAGTAGTAGTAGTAGTAGTAGTAGTAGTAGTAGTAGTAGTAGTAGTAGTAGTAGTAGTAGTAGTAGTAGTAGTAGTAGTAGTAGTAGTAGTAGTAGTAGTAGTAGTAGTAGTAGTAGTAGTAGTAGTAGTAGTAGTAGTAGTAGTAGTAGTAGTAGTAGTAGTAGTAGTAGTAGTAGTAGTAGTAGTAGTAGTAGTAGTAGTAGTAGTAGTAGTGTCTTTTGGGAGCCTCTTGGAGGCCTTTTGGGGCGTCTTGGGGGCTTCTTGGCGGCCCCAGGGGCTTCAAGGAGCGTCTTGGGCGCTTTGGGGGGAGCCTCTTCGGGCCTCTTGGGAGCCTCTTGGAGGCCGTTTGGGGCGTCTTGGGGGCCTCTTGGCGGCCCCAGGGGCTTCCAGGAGCGTCTTGGGTGCCTCCGGGGAGCCTCTTGGGGCCTCTTGGGGGCATATTGGGGGCCTCTTGGAGGCTCTTGGGGCCTCTTGGGGCCCTCTCCGTAGCCATTTTGGCTCAAGATGATTATCACGCGGGGCATTCGCCCTGGTGGTCAAAGGGATACCGCTAATCCGCGGCAGGCAGATCGGTTTACCGTTCGGCAGTCGGGCGCACGATGGCGGCATGGGGCTGGCCGCGCTCGCACAACGGTTACTGGTCCTGCAGCTGTGGGGTGGCGGACAATTATGCGACGCGCAAGAAGTGTCGGGGGTGTGGGGCCCAGGCGCAGCGCAAAGGACCGACGTACAAGGACGTGCTGTTGGGCCCGACGAAGCGGGAGGTTGCGCTTCAGAAGCAGGTGGTTACCATGCGGGCACAGCTTCAGGGCCTCAAGAAGCAGCAGCACGCCACCCAGGAGGACGACGACGACGAGAAGCCCGTGGACCTGGATAAACTCTTCAGGTGGGCCCAATCGTGCAAATCCGAGTGGGGAGACCAGTCCATCGAGTACCAGCAGGCGCAGGAGCGCTACATGCGGGCCAAGGACGCCAAGCAAAGCACGAAGCCGCACTCGGTCCAGCTCACTCAGGCACGGGCTGCCAGGGAGAAGCTCGAGAAGGAGGAGGCGGCAATCTACGACGAGGTCAAGCGGCATCAGAAGGCAATGCAGGAGGCGCAGGAGAAGCTCACCAAGAAAAGAGAGCAGCTCGAGGTCGCAAAGGCCAAGGAGTCGGAGCTTAAGGTGCAGGACGTCTCCATCAAGGGCAAGGGCTTCCTCACGGCGATGCAGAAGCAGTACGAGGGGGCCGTCGAAGGTAGCGGCATCAGCAAGGAGGAGCACGAGCATGTGTTCGCAGCACTCGCCAGGGTGCTGGACAACGTCAGGGAGGAGCCCAAGGAAGACAAGGACGGCATGGACACTGAAGAGGCTGGCGATGCTCCTGCCGGTGGCAGCAGCGGGGGCACAGGCGCAGCCAGAGGAGGGCAAGCTGGACGCGAGCAGGGTCCCCAGCTATCGCCAGAAGAACAAGAGTGGCTACATGCAGGTGGGGCGCCCGAGGATGCCAGCGAAGCACAGCGAAAGAGGTGGCTGGAGGTGTGCGCCAGCCTTGCGGAGCACAATAAGCGGGCCAAGCGATCCTAGCAGGCAGCGCCAGAACAAGTTCGAGAGCCTCACCCTGTGGACGTTCAACGGCTCGGGGTGGGGCACCATCAAAGAGAAGATCGAGAGCTCAGAGGGGGGCAAGCTGCAGTGCTACGCAGTGCAAGAGCATCGCCTCACGGGCAGGAGAGGCGAGCACGTTGGGCAGACAGGTTGCAGGAGGCGGCAGCAGGAGCCGCTGGTGGTTTACACCAGCTGAGCAAGGCTGCAGCAGTATGGAGACCACGCAGGGCAGGCTCCATGGAGGACTCGGCGGACCCCATCGAGGCAGCGGAGTACACCCTCAAGGAGTGGAACGTGGTCTGGAGGGTCGGCGAGCAAATCCAGAAGCAGGCTAGGCCGCGGGAGTGCGAAGAACGTGACAAGCTCGAGCCCTTCACAGACCAGGACGTGGACAAGCTTCAGGAGGTAGCTCGCACCTTCAGAAAGAAGACGGGGGTAGGAGTCGACAGGTGGCACCCCTCTATGTTGCAGGGTGCGTCGGTCGAGGCCCACGTCAAGCTGTTGGACTTTTACATGGAGGTGGAGCGTACATTGAGCTGGCCCATCCACATGGGCACTGCGCTGTTCTTCCTGATCCCGAAGACCTTCACCACGGACAGGGTCATCGGGCTGCTGCCCACTGCCATCAGAGTGCGGGAGATTATGCGGGAGCCGTACATGGTCGAGTGGGCCAAGAAAAACTATCGAAGCTGGAACTGCACGAGCTACGGCAAGGCGGCGGAGGACGCGGCCTGGGAGGCGTTGCTCAGCCATGAGATGGGCGATGTGGAGGAGCAGAGCGAGGAGACACAGGCGACGGTCACGGCGGTTCTGGACCTGGTAAAGGCATTCGAGAAGGTCAGCCTGCACGCGTTGTGGGAAGCGGGTAAGCAGCTCAACTTCAACACAGGGGTGCTAGCAGTGGTGCGCTCATACTTCGCCATGACCAGGCGCCTCATCGTAGGTGACTCGGCGCCCAGTGAGACCGAGACGGTTACCACCATTATCGCGGGCAGCAAGTTCCCGGCATGCTTCCTGAAGATGGTCATTCAGTCCACGGTGGACGGCCTGGCGGTGGAAAGACCGAGGGCGCGCTGGAGGATGCACGTGGACGACCTATGCGTGCGGCTGCCACAGCAGCATAGGCACATAGTCACGGAGTTCGGAGAGACAATCGACAGCTGCTTCCGAGGCTTCGAGAGGATAGGCCTGAAGTTCTCCGTGGGCAGCAAAGGCAAAGGTGCAGTAATGGCGAGCACCAAGTGGGCGCGAAGGGCCGTGACAAGGTCGATGCAGGAGCGAGGATTGCCAGTGGTGAGGGCCTGTCCTTACTTGGGGGTCGACATCGCCACGCACGGCACGGCGGTGAAGACCAAGAGCGGCAAGAGACACGCTACCATGAAGGTCAGGAGTCGCAGGTTGCTCGCTCTAAAGGGCGGGCGGAAAATGACCAGGGGTGTTGGTTTTGTATACAAGTGCGGCTTGAAGCGCTCGGTTATGCATGGATGCAAGTGCTTAGGCATGCCAGACCATCAGCTACGACAGCTACGGCGAGAGGCAGGGCGACTTCTACCAGGTGGACGAGGGGCCCGAAGCCTCACCCTGCAGCTGGCAGTGGCGCAGGAGGAGCCCACGCACGAGGTCACCGAGGCGCCCATAGCGAGGTGGGCGCGTGCAGTGCGGCATGGTGCACGACGAAGATGGGGGAGGTCAATGGGGCAACATAGACACCATGTTGCAGCAGGCATGGCGGCGGCAGCAGCAGGAGGTTGGCATGAAGCCCGCTTGGGCCCGAGTGCGAGGACCAGCAAGGGCTGTCAGCATGTCAATAAGGAGGGCTACGTGGACATGGCCTGCGTGGCACACTTTCGTCTCGAAGGAGGGCTTCGAGTTGAACATGCAGGAGGTGTGCCCCATGGACATCGCGGCGACGGTGCGCAAGGACGCGCAGGCAACCCTCTGGGAGGAATGGACGCAGGCGGAGGAGTTCAAGAGCCTGAGCCCAATGCCGTTGTTGGCGCCAGCGGTTGCGCAGCTACGAGCACGTGAGTTCCCGAAGCATGCGAGGAATGCGGCGAAGAAGGTCTTCGTCGGAGGCGCGTGGACAATGGAGAAGCTTTGCAGGTGCAACATCGTGCCCACGGACATTTGCTTGGCTTGTGGAGAGGCGGTGGGCACCGAGCACCATCGGTACTACAAGTGCGACGCGCTCAGGGGCCAGAGGCTGCAGGCGCAGGCGGACTGGCAGCACATGGCGGAGCAGCAGGACACAAACATGCTGTGGACGCGCGGGCTGGTGAGGTCGCCAGAGGCGGACTGGAAGTTCGTGGGCATCGAGGAGGACCAGTACTACGGGCAAGTGGTCGACGGTGAGGAGGACTACTTCATTGGCGACATTGTCTGCGACGGCTCGAAGCGCGGATACAGCGACTGGGCGCAGACGGGTTGGGCAGCTATGTCCCTGACCTATAACGGCACCGCGAAGATGCAGATGTGGGGCCCGCTGCCGTGCTCGTTACCGATCCACAGGAGGGTTAAGAGGGCCGAGATGTGGGCCTTCCTCACGGTGCTGGAGCGGATGTTGCCGCCAGGACGAGTCTACACAGATCACAAGGGCATCGTGGAAGGCTTGCAGAGAGGAGAGCGGTGGCGCACGAGCTGGAAGCGACCACACGCAGACCTGCGGCGAAGGATCTGGCACAAGGTGAAGGACATGGACCTTGATATTCACTGCGTGAAGCACGTGAAGGCCCACAGGTCCAAGAGCAGGACCGAGCAGCTTGAGGGCGAGGACCTGAAGATCGCGAAGGGCAACGGAGAGGTCGACCTGCTGGCGAAGGCGGGCGCGGAGATGGACGCGCACTACGGCAAGCACCAGGCGCTGGAGGACCTCGCAGGGCGAGTGCGCTGGGCGCTGCAGAACATTGGTTGGCGGTACAAAAGATGGGCGGCACGTGGCCAGACGTGCCGCCCAAAGAGAAAGGAGTGCCGAGGCGAAGAGTGCCGAAGCCGGCGCTGACCCCGACCGAGCACGACGTCGTGGAGACGGGCGCCTGGCAGGTGTGCATAAGGTGTGGTCTCCGTGCGGCGTCCAAGCGGATGCGCCTGAAGATGTGGCAAGCGGAATGCGCACGACCACGCTGGCAGGCAACGGGTTCGAGCAGCGCGGGAACAGGCAGTTCGCTGGAGGCCAGCGCGGCTATCGCAGCGGCGGCCGCAGCAGCAGCAGCAGCAGCACGGCCTGGATAACGACACGAAGAACGTGCTGAGCCTGAGGAGCAGGGCAGGCCGCATCGTGTCGAAGTCCATGGTCCGTACGTGGTGTGTGGTGTGTGGTGCCCACTCGGCAAGGCGTCGGGCGGGTCTGGGGGCTGCATGCCCAGGCCCGCTAGCGCCCCGTGGGCGCTCCACCAAGGACGATGCGAAGAGGAAAAAGCGGGACAGGATTCTGGCGGGTAAGAATCCGCAGAACGGCAAGCCGCTGGAGCAGGGCGCTGTTCTGCCTGTGCGGCGAGGGGCTTGAGGAGCTGCTCCAGAAGCGGCCGAAGGGGGGCGTTCAACTATGTGAGCATGGAGAACGCGATGACGTCCGAGCTGGAGGGCAACCAGCTGGGCCAGGCCATCCAGGCCTGAGGCATGCCGCCGTCTGCGGCGAACGAGTCCCGTGGCGGGATCCGCTGGGGGCTTGGGGGAAAAAAAGCCTCTTGGGGCCCTCTTGGGCGCCTCTTGGAGCGTCTTGGGGGCCTGTTGGGGCCATCTTTGGGGCGATCGATCACAGATGGGGCGAGCATTTTTGTCTGTCCCCCCGTCGGGGCCAGAATCCTCGTGAGGGGTGTCGAATTTTAGCCCTCCCAAGAGTCGAAAAAGACCCCTCCAACCACCCGCGAAGGGACCTCTCCAGGCCCAGGGGGAGAGGGTAGGGGGAGGGGGAAGCCCCTCCCCGAAGGGGAAGAAGGGGGGTTGAGAACAGAGAGAGCTCGCTAAACCACTCACGCCCAAAGGGCTGGTGGGATTCAAAAATAGTCAAAAAAATAGTCGGGAGACGATTTTTTAAACATTGCTGGGCGTGTTGTGGGCATGTTTTGACAATTTTTCATTTTTCCTCCAAAATCCGCCTGTAGGAGGACATGCCCGACCTAATGTTACCGTACCACGTTCGATACACGGACCAGCAATCGCGCAAGGTCCTGAAGTCAAGGGAGGAAAGACCACTTGGACTGGACAATTGGCTTTTACTAAACGGCCTTGGGCGTTTACTGAACAGCCCTGCCCTGTTTTATTTCTTCTTTGGGTGCCTGTACTCAACGGCTTCGCGTGTCGGTGTGGTTATTATCGGGGTTGATTTTCTGCCCTCTGTGAAGGGAACCTGGACCCCGTGTGCTGCAGCACGCCTCCGGGCACCGGACAGGGAGCCACCGAGCCAGCCAGTGGAAAGATGGACACCCCAGAGGTCACGAGTTCCATCTCAAGCAGTGGCGAAGCGTCCCGGCGTGCCTATAGGCCGATCAAACAATGTTCTAAGAACTTTTTCGTGGTTTCCACGGAATGTTCTTAGAACATGTCTGGCCGAGACTGTCTCGTTTTAACACATCGGTCTACGTTCTTAAAACATTGCTTTCGTTCTTAGAACAGCTTCGGGTTCTGAGAGAATTTCGTGGTAGGCCTATGGGAATGCCGGGACGGTCGGTCCCTGCTCAATACCATCGCGAACGTCACCGCGAATACAAACATACACGCCGAACGCGGCTCATGCCCGACACGCCACTCCGAAAATGGATTGCCAGCCAGGTACAAGATGAGCGCGGATTGATCAATTGTTTCGCTTCTTTGTTGATCGCGCTGGCGCAGACGGTTTCGTCGTGGTACTCTGGGCAAGCGGGGGAGCCGACCACCAACCTGCCCACCTGCTGACACTGCACCCCGCCGCAAACTGAGGAGAGGAGGTCAAGGAAAACGGGTGATTCCGATCATCGCTGGGGCCCCGCGGCATGCGGACAGGCGGGAGAGTAAAGGTGGGAGGAGAGGCCAGGAGGGAAGGCGGGAGGAGGAGCAGAGGGAGTGAGGCAGCGAGGGATAAGGGGAGAAAGGGGGGGAGGGAGGAAGGAAGGAGGAAGCAGGAGGGAGGAGAAGTTGCAGCAGCGGCCGCCCGTACCAAACGGAGGAGACGGAGGAAGAGAGAAGGAGGAGAGGGAGGGAGGGCGGAGGAGGAGCGGGAGGACGAGCAGGAGGGAGAAGGGGTGGAGGGAGGGAGAAGCAGGAGAAGGAGCTTGATGAGCGGGAGACGGAAAGGCAGGACGACGACGACGACGACGACGACGACGACGACGACGACGACGACGACGACGGCGGCGGCGGCGGCGGCGGCGGCGGCGGCGACGGCGACGGCGACGGCGACGACGACGACGACGCCGACGGCGATGGCGACGGCGATGGCGACGGCGGCGGCGGCGGCCACTGGGAGAAAGAAGCGGGCGCTGCGCGCGGTCGCGGGCGGTTCCTGCGCTGCCGCCGCGCCACCGAGCCGCAGCGCCGCGTCTGTGCTTCCCCGCCGCCCCGCCACGACCGAGGCGGTCGGGTCGAGCGGTGCGGCGGGTCGGGCCGCTCCGATGCTGGAGGCGGTGTGGCACCCTGAGATCCAGGCGCTGCAGCTTCTGTTCACGCCAGGCGTTCTCGTTCTCGCTGGGCCATCGCAGATCGATGTGGCTCGAGGAGCGTGGTGGAAAGACGGGGTCGGGGGCTCTGGTCGTGAGTCTTCGCAAGGTCGCAGTTTGCTTCGCAGCGTCGGATCTCAGGGCACGTCGGTCGGCAGCGCGGCGCCACCTGCAGGCCCCTCGCGGGGTGGAGGGGGGCGCGCAGAGGCTCCACAACGGTGGGAGGGGAGGCTCGAGAACGAGATGAGACTGAAGTCCATGGACCCCCTCACGCAGCTCCCCACGCTGAGGCCGCCTCGGTCGTGGGCAGACCGAGCGTGCGGTGGGAGGGAGGCGCTGGAAGAGCCCAGATGATCAAGAACCCTCGAAATGTGGATCCGACCTCAATTTTGGAAGTTTTTGTCCCTCCATTCTGCATGTTGTTCCTCCGAAATGGGAAGCTCTACCTCGGAAATTGAGGTTCCCGATCTTCTGGAAAAGGCAAAATGGAAGGGAGGATGCACTGGAGAAAGAGGATGACGTATGCCTGTCTGCATTCCCCTGCCGAGAAGAGCACGCGCGCGAAGCCCATTCGAGCACTCCTGATATCCATTCTCTGCCTTAGCGCGGCGGTTCGGGCGAGAGGGCAGCGAGCAGCTTGTAGGACGGGGTCGCGCATTCGGACCGCGACCGGGCACGAGGGGGCGGGACGGAATTGCGGACAGTGGCGGAGAAGAGAGAGGAGGGTAGGGAGGACCTAGCGGGAGAGGGTTTTGGCACGCGCCCTGCATATGCTTCTCCTCTTTACACCTTGCCTCCTCCTCCTCCTCGTCCCTTTCTGGTTCTTCCTCCTCCTCCTCCTCGTTCTTCCGCCCACTCCCTCCATACCTCCCATCGTAACGCCAATGAAGCGTTACGACGCTGCGAGAAGCATGCCTTGCGGCGGAGGCTCTGGTCTGTCCATCCTGGAGTCGCCCTCGCCGACATTGCAGGCACATCAAATGACAAATCGGAATGCCAGCAGGTGCTCCGGAAAGTCCTGATCCCCGATGGCTCCAGGGACCCACATAGGTTTTGGGTCATTGGGGCCCTCACAGATCGACGAGTCAAGTGCCCCAAGATTCCTGCAGCAAGGTTTCTTATCGTATAAGATCATGGTGGACCAGGCCGCCCTGGCAGGCCTGGGGAGGATTCCCGCCGCGCGGCGGTGACGTCTCTCGCTCCAGAGCCCCCCCCGACCTTGGCGGCCGCGCGGAGGCGCGCGCTGACGCCGGCGCAGTACAGTCTTGCCTTCGCGAAGCCAGACCGTCTTGCCGACATCCCGACGAGCTTCAGGGCCACGGGCGTCGTGGGCCTCGTCGGCACTCCGATCAGACGGCAGCAATCAGGTCTCCATACCAAACGTTGCACGAGGCCGCATCATGCTATGGGTGGGGAACGGGATTGTTGTTTGAGTCGATATTTCGGACGTCGACATCACCAGAGTGAGGCAGCCGCCTACAGGACTGGCGGGACGAGGAGCTTCACTGACAGATTCCCAAAGAAAGATGCAGTGCAAGTTCATTTTGGCATGCTTCCCGCCGATCCCGAGAGCAGCGGGGGCCAAACTGGCCTTGTTCATCACGATTGGCAAGTTTCTGAGATCGCTGGAGCTTGATTTGGCAAACACCAGCGAGAGTGACACCATACATACTCGTGGACGTGATCGACGGTTTTGGCAACCACACGTCCCAGAGAATCCGGTCGGACCCGCATCTCCTGATCACGAAGGACGAGTGGGAAACCACACGCACGGAATCGTCAACATGCAGCATATGGCGGCGTACAACACCTACTTCTGAAGTGCTGGGTGCACTCACCAGGCCCCATCTCGGGCCGAACGAAAGGGGGGGATAGGGAAAGGGGGGGTACGAAATCTGCTGCATGCCGCTGGTTTCGGTCCCGCCGCCGGGCCCATTCCTCGATGCGTGGGCGCCGGGAGGCGCCGGGAAAATCAGCGACGTGAGCTGATTCTCGAACCCCCCCTGTGCTATCCCCCCCTTGCGCCCGGCCCGACCATCGGATCAAAGAGCAGAACCGATGTCGTCATTGGTCCGGGCGGGCTCCTGCCCGGCAGTGCCGAGCGCGCGTGCCGGGGACGCGCGGCCTTCAAGCTGCAAGCGTCGAGGGCGCTCCCTGACCACACGCCAGTGGGTACTACGTACTCACAGCGTGAAGGTTCCAACCGAACTGCTGCAGCGTGCACATGTCAGAAGGGACATGGACAGAGTAGCAGCATTTCTGCAGCGAGGCGAAGACCGAGGACAGCTCCTCACAGAGCTTGGACATGTACTCCTTGGTCACAAGAACGCCTTCGACGAGGCCGGGAGCGAGCAGACCCCTGACAAGCACCACGCGCTGTTCATGCACTGTGTCACAAAACTCACGATCCCATTGTTCACGAAAAGTTCCACATAGACATTATAGTCGACAAAGATTGTCAAAGCACGACACCGATTGCTACGAGTTCGAGCCGAGTTCCGAAGGCAGCACGCACCACGTCCTGACAATACAAGTTTTCCGAGGGTGCGCGAACTGAGTGCGCAGCTGACGGTGACACGACGGCGATGATTGGCGATGGCAAAGACATTACGACAGGATTCCTTATTGGAGGCTTTGAGGAGCGGGGACACGCTGCTGTTCACATAAGCGCTGACATGCACAAAGATGGGCGCAAAAAAAGAGTTTACAACACATCGCTTACAAGTTCGGCTTCTGCTTAGGAGTGGTATGAAGTTGCATCAGCGGACGGCCCCGACAAAGGATGTCTCGCGACATTGACGGCGCCGCCATGTCCTTACTCCTTCCCGCGGCACCCGCCTGGAGCACATGACGAAGCAGACCCTCCTGGACCCAGTGGCCCCGCACAGGGACGGGACGACGGGGGGCCTCGAGCCGAGAGCTGGGGAAGGAAAAGGAACAGACGCAACGGACTCGACCCTCAGTACACAAAGCGGAGCGGCGGAGGCACGCGCCCGAATGGAACCCCCCCCCGCGGAGCTGATCGTCGCGAGCGCCCAGCGGGCACTTGAGTGCGAGTCGGTGACTTGAGCGGGCGCTGTAGCATGGCGACGTCGACGGCGGCGGAAACGATGACGGCAGCAGCGATGATAGTGGCGATGCCGACGACGACGACGACGACGACGACGACGACGACGACGACGACGGTAGGGCCAATGACGGCGCCGATGCTGACCACGCCGATGACGATGATGGCGCCCCCGCACCGGCGATGAAGACGTCGGAGAAGGAGTTCGGCACGCGCGCGCGCGGCCGACGCGCGCGAAGGGCCCGCGCGGCGTTCTTCGGCAGGGGGCGCACCGCCCCCCCCCCCCAAAAAAAAACAGAAAGCAAAGTCACAGGCAGAAAAAGACCGCGCAAGGGCGTTCGAATGATTTCGACATGCGGCGCGAGGGGCCCGCTTGGCCGAGTTTGAAACTGTCGCAAGTCCTGTGGGCTTCTTGAAGAATTCTCAAGAACGCGCGCGCGCAGAAATGTTGTTTTACAACTGATGGCGCAGACCCATGTTTCACGTGTTGTTGGGGCGCTCGGATTTGAAACCCTTGCGACATCTCTTGAAGATGTTGGCATGCGCCCGCGTACGCTTCGCCCCGCTTTTTTGGCGAGTGACCCTTGCGACAGGACGCGCGTAAAAGGCGCTCGAATGATTTCGACATGCGCGCGGGAGGCACGTCTGGTAACACTTGATAGAGATTGAAAACCGACGGCTTGTTGTTCAGATTGCGCAAACATGCACAGGTTCTTTAAACATTCGTGTTACAGAACCAATGTTGTTATATGTTGTCGGCGCACTCGGTTTGGATGTCCGTGCGAAACCTACGGTGACTTATGGATTTCGGCACGCGCACGACGACGCGCGCGCGCGTGCAAGTCGCCCTATGTGTTACACGGGGTTCATGGAAATTGGTTGGTGGCTCATGATAAACGAGTGCGCGCATACATTTTGTGCAGAGGACGAGGGGGGGTTAAGGAACTGCCCGGGATGGTATGAATTCATTTTCCGAATGAACACGCGCAGGATCAGATACGGAACGCTACAAAAGAAATGTGCCCGTTGAGCCGGGTGTCGGTAGATCTTGATACCCGACCAGAAAATATAATCTTATGTTATGCGACAGGTGCGTTGCGACCCATGTTGTGCAACCTACGTGGTGCAATATACGTAGGGAGATTCAGTCTGCTGATCTTGAAGTTGGCAAATGTTGTGAACCCCGCTGCTCGCGCAATCATCCCACCCACTCACCCGCGACTTGGTTTGCAAAACCCGTGCGGCGACGATTGCGGCGACTGCTTGGTGCTGGCTGGCGCATCGCTAGAGCCGCGCTAGCGCGCGCAGGCCAGCGCGCAGGGCGGCCAGTTCGCCTGGCGCGACCGACAAGGCCGTGGCGGCGCTGATTGTTGGTGAATGCACAGCGCGTCTCGCAGGCAGTTTCGACGCGCGGGCATGTCACCGCGAGTCGTTGGCTCGGGCGGGCGCGGTACCATGGCGACGCCGACAACGACATACACAATGATGGTAGTAGCGATACTGGTTACGATGATGACGATGACGACGACAAGGCCAATGGCGGCGCCGATGTTGGTTACGCCGATGACGATGATGGTGTCCACGCGTCGGTGGTGAAGGTTTTGGGAGGGTGCCGACATTCGTGCGCGGCCCACCCGGGTGAGTGGCCGGCAATTTGATAGGGGTCGTGCCCCCCCGCAAATGCGCAAAGGCTTTCGAATAATTCCGGCACGCGCGCGCGAGAGGCCCGCTTGCTCGCACCTGAAAGAAACAATACCCTCGGTCGCAAAAGAGCGCGCGCGCGCCGATATTTGGACAAAAACAAAAACCGGTTACAAAACCAAGTGTTCCCAACCATCCTGTGGTGTTGGGTCTTCGTTTTGAAGCGACGGTCCCCGCGTTTATTTCCGTCCTCCCTCCTCCTCCCCCTTCTCTTTCCCCCCCTTCCTCCTTCCCCTCTGCGCTTCACCCAACCCAGTACAGTGCTTCGTGGCCCCATAAGGCCCCAGTGGCAGGGTCCGCATGGCGGCCCCGCATTGTGGCGCACCCCTCACACGGTTCGTGGCCCCATAGCGAGCCCCACCGAAGGCCCCAGCGGCAAGGTTCGCATGGCGGCCCCGCGTTGTGGCGCACCCCTCACACGGTTCGTGGCCCCATAGGGAGCTCCACCGAACGCCCCAGCGGCAGGGTTCGCATGGCGGCCCCGCATTTTGGCGCACCCCTCACTATTTTGGCGCACCCCTCACACAGTTCGTGGCACCATAGGGAGTTCCGGCCCCAGCGGCAGGGTTCGCATGGCGGCCCCGCCTCATTTTGGCGCACCCGTTACACGGTTCGTGGTCCCATAGGGAGCTCCACCGAAGGCCCTAGTGGCAGGGTTCGCATGGCGGCCCCGCCCCACTTTGGCGCACCCCTTTTACATTTCGTGGCCCAACAGGGAGCTTCACCGAAAGCCAGCCCCATTGTGGCGAACCCCTCACACGGTTCGTGGCCCCATAGGGAGCCCCACCGAAGGCCCCAGCGGCAAGGTTCGCATGGCGGCCCCGCCCCATTTTGGCGCACCCCTCACACGGTTCGTGGCCCCATAGGGAGCTCCACCGAACGCCCCAGCGGCAGGGTTCGGCTGTCGGCCCCGCATTTTGGCGCACCCCTCACTATTTTGGCGCACCCCTCACACAGTTCGTGGCCCCATAGGGAGTTCCGGCCCCAGCGGCAGGGTTCGCATGGCGGCCCCGCCTCATTTTGGCGCACCCCTTACACGGCTCGTGGTCCCATAGGGAGCTCCACCGAATGCCGTAGTGGCAGGGTTCGCATGGCGGCCCCGCATTTTGGCGCACCCCTCACACGGTACGTGGCCTAGGGAGCTCCACCGAAGGCCCCAGCGGCAGGGTTCGCATGGCGGCCCCGCGTTGTGGCGCACCCCTCACACGGTTCGTGGCCCCATAGGGAGCTCCACCGAACGCCCCAGCGGCAGGGTTCGCATGGCGGCCCCGCCTCATTTTGGCGCACCCCTCACACAGTTCGTGGCACCATAGGGAGTTCCACCGAAGGCCCCAGCGGCAGGGTTCGCATGGTGGCCCCACCTCATTTTGGCGCACCCCTTACACGGTTCGTGGTTCCATAGGGAGCTCCACCGAAGGCCCTAGTGGCAGGGTTCGCATGGCGGCCTCGCCCCATTTTGGCGCACCCCTTACACACTTCGTGGCCCAACAGGGAGCTCCACCGAAAGCCAGCCCCATTGTGGCGCACCCTCACACGGTTCGTGGCCCCATAGGGAGCTCCACCAAAGGCCCCAGTGGCAGGGTCCGCATGGCGGCCCCGCCCCATTTTGGCGCACCCCTCAAACCGTTCGTGGCCCCATAGGGAGGTCCACCGAAGGCACCAGTGGCAGGGTTCGCATGGCGGCCCCGCATTTTGGCGCACCACTCACACGGTTCTTGGCCCCATTCGGAATTCCTTTTGCTTCGTCCAACTTGCCTTTCAGTTCTCACAATTATGTATGGTTGGGTCCTTCACCCGGATAATGTTTGTATGGTCTCGGAGTTTTCGATGTTACAATCCGTACGAAGTTTTCCAGTGTTGTCGAATGTTGGCATGCGCGCGCGACGACGCGGGCGTACAGAGTTGTTGTCAAAGTGTGTAGTTGCAAGGGGCCTTTTTTGAATTGATAATTTGTGTTAATGGAGTGTTCGCGCATAGTGTTAGGGGACAGTGGTGAGGAGGGGGTCGACCACGGCATCCCATGGAACGGTATGAGGTCATTCGGAAAACGAGCGATGGGGCAGAATCGCATGTAAATTGCAGGGTCCAAAAGGCAGCGCTAATTCTTGAGGGTGGGGCGTGGGCTCCTCTTTCTCGTCTTCCTCCTCCTCCTCCTCCTCCTCCTGCTCCTGCTCCTGCTCCTACTCCTCCTCCTCATCCGCATCCTCATCATCATGTTCCTCCTCATCTTCCGTCTCTTCCTCTTCCTGGTGCGTTCGGAACGCAGGCGGGTCAGCCGACGAGGGAGAGGTCGGTTGATGTGCTGGGGGACGGTGTCGTCTTGCCGAAGGCTCGCTATGGGGGATGAAACCCCACGGTGGGCCTGACAAAAGCCCCCTCTGGATGGGCGGCCCCACTCGTTGGTGTCTTCTCTCCCTTCTCGACCTTTCTCTTTAGGGACCGCGAAGCTCCTCCTCCTCCTCCTCCTCCTCCTCCTCCTCCTCCTCCTCCTCCTCCTCCTCCTTCGCCTCCTCCTCCTCCTCGCTCCCTTCCCCCTCCTCCTCCTCCTCCTCCTCCTCCTCCTCCTCCTCCTCCTCCTCCTCCTCGCTCCCTTACCCCTCCCTTTCGTTCCCTCACTCCTCCCACATCCACCCCCGCCTCGCTCACCTCGGCCGCTCTTCCGCCCGCGCCGCCCCCCGCGCCCTGCACGGCGAGGGCCTTGCGCCACGTCCAGCACGCGGACGCCAAGCCGTGCCTCGCCGCTCCCCCCCTTTTTTCTCGCTGGGGAGAGGAGGCGGGGGACAGAAGAGGAGGCGGAGGAGGAGCAGGAGCAGGAGGGCGAGGACGAATACGAGGACGAGGAGGACAAGGAGGACAAGGAGGACAAGGAGGGGGAGGAGGAGGAGGAGGAGGAGGAGGAGGAGGAGGAGGAGGAGGAGGCGAAGGAGAAGGAGAAGGATGAAGGTGTGAGGGGGACGAGGGGGAAGAGAAGGAGGATGAGGAGGAGGAGTGAGGGACGAGGTGGAGGAGGGGGAGGAGGAGGAGAAGGAGGAGGAGGAGGAGGAGGAAGGGTGAGGGTGAACGTCGGGCAGTGTGTGGGTCTGGCAGAAGGCGGAGGGCAAAGGTACATGGTGCTCAGCGGCGCGAACGAGAAGTGAGGACGCGCAGGGCAAGTTTAGGCTTCTTTGTTGTGATGTGGTCAGACATCTCTGCCTAGCACGCCGGGCGTCCTGCGTGCTTCGCGGTGAGCGCGGTGGTTGCGTTGTGGAGTGCAACGGGTCATTCCAACATGTCACCCGGTTCCCTCATCTTCTGAGCATGCCTTCATCGCAGCATTTTGTTTGTTTCAGCTCCCAAGGTTTACGGTGCCCGTCATCTTGTCATTGTTGCGTGTGATGGCGTTGTTCCCGGTGTTAAGCTTGCAGCGTTACTTGTCGGCGTTAGCATCACATAGGTTGGTTGAGAATTGGTTATGTGTGTTTCCCTCTGCCCTCCTGATATTGACGTGTGTGTGTGTATGATTTGGTCGTCGTGTCCGCCTTCGTGTGTTACAGCTCCTCCTTTGACTATGAGACGCTTGCAGCCTGACCGCCCCGACGAAAAAAATACATCTGGGCATTGGAACAGATGGAGTCTGAAGTTGGAAGCGGGCTGAGCAAAAGCCCTTGTCACGCAATTGACGCGCGTGTGGCGGTAATGGAGACAGCAAGGGGGGCGGGAGAGATGAGGAAGGAAGAGGGGAAGGCGCAGCGAGGGAGACAGGAGGTGAGGGAGACAGGAGGAGGAGGGGAAAGGGGGAGAGAGCGAGAACAAAAAGTTGGAAAAGGTAGAGACAGGGAGGGGCAAACGAATACAGGCTGAGAAAGGGGCAGAGGCAAAGACCCTGTGTGAGAGAGAGGGAGGGATGGATGGAGGGTGAGAGAAAGAGGGGCAGGGAAAGCGAGAGAACGACATGAATACACGATACCACCTACCGACCGAAAAACTTTGATTGCTAGCTGGGAGGTTGCCGTAGCAAGCGCGACTGCAAGCGGCTGACGAGATGAGTTCTTGAGACCAATCTCCCGCAAGGGATCTTGAGGCCAACGCCGTGCCTTGCTGTTCCCAGCCATCCTGTGGTGTTGGGTCCTCTTTTTGAGTAGACAGCGCCCCGCGCTCCTTCCTTCCTCCGCCCCCCTCCTCCCATCACAATCGCCATCGTCGTCGTCATCATCATCATCATCATCATCATCATCATCATCATCCTCCTCCTTCTCCTCCTCATCATCATCATCATCAGCATCAGCATCAGCATCAGCATCAGCATTAGCATCATCAGTATCACCATCATCATCGTCATCGTCATCATCGTCATTGCCATCATCACCACCATCACCGTCATCATCATCGTCACCGCCGTCAGCAGCATCATCATCGTCATCAGCATCGCTGTCAGCATCATCAGCATCATCAGCAGTATCAGCATCATCATCAGCATCATCATGATCATCACGATCATCATGATCATCATGATCATCATGATCATCATGATCATCATGGTCATCATCGTCTTCGCTATTATCAGCATCAGCATCATCCTCATCATCATCAGCAGCATCATCATCGTCACCAGCATCATCGTCATCAACATCATCATCAGCATCAGCATCATCCCCGTCAGCTTCGGCACACCCCTCACATCGTCATCATCAACATCATCGCCATCAGCTTCGCCACTAGTGGCACGACACGCATGTTTCTCCCCCGCTCCTCATCGGCACACCACTGACAAGTTGTGTGGCCCCCCCCATAGGAAGCTCCACCGAAGACGATATTCACAACTGCAGATATCGCAACTGCATATGGTTGGGTCCTTCGCCAGGTTTTTTTGGGGGGGCTGGCGTCCCTGTGCGCTCTTCAAGTCGACTAGTCAGAAGACTGCTGTTGTTGGCCGACTAGTGTCGATTAGCCCTTCGTAGCGCGCGCTCAGGACTCTACTTCAATCGCGTTTTTCGCTTTGTCAGGCCACAGGGCCCAACATAACAACTCAAAACTGTTCACATCGGGGTTTGTAGTACAGAAAGAGAGATAGAGAAAGAAGGAAACAGAGAAAGAGAAAGAGAAGGAGGATACGAAAACTGCAGAGAGAGATAGAAAGAGAGAGCGATGGTGGGAGGAAAAGCGGGAAGAAGGGGGGGAGGGAGGAATGGGTGAGGGAGGATATGAGTAAGGGACGTGAGAAGTTGGCATGGGGCACATCTCAGCCCATCTAGACGAGCACTGCGGAGAGGCGGAGGGGAAGAAGCTAGTAGCGACAAGGGAAGGAAGTGACTGCTCGCTCGACTCTCGCTCCTGTCCCCGATCCCCGCCGAAGGCCAGGGGGGGCGCGACCTCGGGGAGGCAGATCGAGAAGCGGCCCTGAAGTTCACGGGGTCCTCCTCCTCCTCCCTCCTCCCCCTCCTCCTCCTCCTCCTCCTCCTCCTCCTCCTCCCCCTCCTCCTCCTCCCCGGGCCCTGGTGGACACCCACGGAGTTGCGGTATCACGCCCTGCGGGGCAGGCTGCAGGCCCTGCGCGTGCGGGACGGCTGGGCGGAGCTGGGAGCCCGGCCGGGGGGGCCCCGGGTGGCAGAGCCTCCTGCTGCAGGCTCGCGCCGGCCGCCTCGACGCGGCGGCGACGCGGGCGCGGGCGCTGGAGCGCGCGGGCAGTTGGGGCTGAAGGACCTCCGGGGGCCCTTCTCGGGCCCAGGGGCCGACAGAAGAGTGCCCACGGGGCGAAAACCATACGGAAGATGGGGCCGACAGCCTCGTGGGACCTCCGTCAGCGAAGATCGTTCCAGGCTGAACGGTCGGCGCAGCATCAGACATCAGGGCCCACGTCGAAGAAGACAGAGAGTTGCTGTTGCTTGAGTTCGGGAGTGTCCTGAGTTCGAGGGCGTGGGAGCGTCTGGCTCGTGCGACGCAAGGTCCCCCTCACGCGAGGCTGCCGGCCATGTGTAAGATAAGCTCGGCCATGCGTTTCCTGCGCGGTTGCATGATCGGCAAAGCAATACATCATCGCTTGCTTCAGCGGGGGGGACCTCGAAGACTGGACGGGCGACCGGCTCATTTGTTTCTGATATCCTTGGTGCCTGTTGACACCGCGTTCGCCCGATGCGCTTGCACGCTTGTGCGCAGGAGTGGGGAAGGAATGATGATTTGTTCACGCGCGAAGATCCTTTGAGGAAGTAGTAAGTGTTTCCATGACACGCCGAAGAAGTCGCGGTAGCTCCGAACAAATCGATGTTTTGGTAGCTTCCTGAATGCCTGGAGGGCTCCAGGCACTCAGGAAATCTCTGATCGTCGAACTTCGAATCTAAATCAAGTGCTTCTCTTTCTCGATCGAGGAACTTAAACCTCGAGCCTCAAACGTGGAACCACGTCGGGTCAGCTCGATGTACTTCGGCTTCGTAGGTGGACGCCGTCTGGGCGTTTTTGGAGCTCTTTTGGGCCGTCCTGGGGCCCTCTTGGGCCGTCCCGGGGCCTTCTTGGGCCGTTTTGGGGAATTGGGGCCCCCCAAATGTCTTCTGACGCCATCTAGGGCCCCCTTGGGGGCCTCCAATGGCCTTCTTGGGGGTCTCCCATGGCTTTCGTGGGTGTCTCTCAAGAGCCTTTTGGGGGCATCTTGGGTTTCTTGCGGGCAGTCTCGGGGCTCTCTGGGGCAGTCTTGGGGCCCTCTTGGGCCGTCTTCAAACGCTCTGGGGGGATTCTGGGCCGTCTTGGGGCGATATCGGGGGCCCATCGGGCCGTCTTGGACGCTGCGAAGTGCCAAACAGCGGATATGTTAAACTTACACATCTTCCCGAGGGAATGGAACGATGTTTGTTTCTCCGGGGCTCTTTTAACAGCCGCTTGGGGCGTTTGGGGGACCTCTTGGGCCGTCTTCTGACCATCGATGTTCCTTTTGGAGCTCTCTTGTGTTGTCTTGGGTCTTTCCTGCGCCTCTCCGATGACCCCTGTGATCGCCTTGAGTCTGCTCGCAAGGACCGGCAAGGCCCCCTGGGAGGCCAGAAAATCCAGCGGACCTTTTTTCCAAGGGCGCCCAGGGGGCCGCTGAGACGTCCGAAAGGGGGTCCGGTTTAGAGGGGGGTGCCGGGCAATAAAAATAAAAGAATCGGAATATATGTATGGGAGGTTCCCGTTTGATGCCGTCATAAAAGTTCTCTTGTGGAATGTCCCTGGGTTGCCTGGCCGGTGCCGGGGGGTATCGTTGTTGCAAGAGCAAGTGCCGCCCGAGGGTCCCGCGCGTCAAAACATTTCGGAAACCCCGTCGAGGTGATTTGGCCCGTTTTGCTCGACACATCCTCACAAGACTGTGTTCCGAGAGGACCTGATCTGAGATGATCCAACCCGTGTCACGTGAGACATTCTCGCATCTTTGGGTTCCCAGTCGTTGTCAGAGATGGTCTGGCCCACTTGGCCTGAAACATCTTGTCATCTTTGGACTCGGAGATACTGCGATCCGAGGTCATTTGGCCATTTCGCCTGACACATTCTCGCATTTCGCGCACGAGGCGATCTGGCCAGTTTCGCTTGAAACGACATCCCCGCAATTCTGGTCACAGAGATGCCGCGCACGAGGAGGTCCAACCAGCTTCAGCCGCTGAAGAATACGAGGAGGAGGAGGACAAGGAGGAGGAGAAGGATGGCAAGAGAAAGCTCGTATTACAATCGGACAAGTACTTTTGTTTTCGTTGCTCTCGGGACACTCCTCGTCGCCAGGGCTGGACGTGGCTCGGGGGATGGTGGGGCGACCCTGGGTGCCATGAGCCAGAGGTTGGGAAGGTGCTGCCCCCAGGAGAGCAAGGTGCATCCCATGGCCTATGCAGGCTTCCCCAGCGGGACTGCACTGCGAGACATGTGCCTCAAGATTCTGAAAATGTAAAGGACCCACGAACCCAGCGAGGAGTTGGAGACAAATAAGCTGTTGTCAGATGTGTCTCCTGTGACGCCTCCATGTGTAAAGATGGTGCAGACGAGAGCCAAGCATTTGGAAGTACGTCGAATGCGGGAGCTCATTGAACATGTGTTGTTGGCTAAGGAGTCTGCAGCGAAACGCCTCGCCACACCAAGTTCGAAGCTCAAAGCCGAGCTTAACACGTGTTTTGTCTGAGGATGTCCCGCGGCCACGACACGCAGGCTT